TGACAGTCTTGTATCCTGTGTTTGTCTGAACATTTAATAATCAGCTTCTCCACTATTTGTGGTGTATACTTGATCGCGTCCACTTCATGTCCTGCATCATAGCTGCTACACATCAAGTGTTATATAGATCTCACTGCCATTAGAAACATTGATTTTTGGAAAAACCAAGAAAATTGTTCCTGAGACAATTTGCTCCCAAATACTAAGATTCCTTCATAATCCTAATAAAAGTTACTGAACTGATCACAGAAGGACATTTCTTCAAGAATGCAACAGACTTTTCTTCAGAAAGGCTGAGCATTCAAGTTTTCCATACATGTAAATGCACACGTTATTTTTCTATTTCTGTTTGCATGGTAAATTGAGGTCCTTCAAGGTATTTTTATAACAGAATCTTCCCAGTCATAGAAAAAAAGTTGAGTAAGTTAGCTACTTGACAAGTTTTAAAGGATATACTGTTTTCTCACTGTTGTTCTCAATGAGTTCTGAACCTCCCACTGAATGTTAGCCAAAAACAAGCCCTCCTTATTTACCTGAATAAACACTAAAGAACAGTAAAAGGACAAAAAAGGACAATAAAACATCCCATGAGGTTCAGAACAATTTTTGGCTACATAAATGTGTTTTTTCACTATTGTTTGTTTGTTTTGCAATACAGTTGCCAGACAAAACTGGTTTCGTCACAAATGCAGAATAATGTAGATCATTTTTAACTGGACATTGGAAATTTTTGATACATTAATTTATACATCCTTTTTTTTCTTGAAGAATCACTTTGTCTTAGCATTGTTCTTTGGTTTCTTATTCAATATGCAAGATAAAATATTTTGCACAAGGACAAAGACACCTTGCTAGACAAAGGATTCTTCTAAGTCAAGTAAGTAACTACTGAGTGCCCAGTGATTCATTAGCCGAAGTAGTGCAAGTAGTTTAGGAATATTTTTAAAAAGAATGTCTGTAGAAAATAACACACTATTCTAGAATTCTCTTCTCTCATTGCCTCAGAATGGACCCTCTCTATCCATGACTTGCAAGTTCTGATAATGCTTATATTTGAAAACTTTGAATAAAATATGAACAGTTTTAGTAGATAACAATGAGGTTTTAACATCAACTGCAGCTATTTTTGTCTGCTTGTAATAAATGTGCATATATATTTTGTCTCGCAGTGCCATCTGCTGATCACTTAGTATCTCTGCTCTCTGTAAGAATGTTTATTGAAAACTGGATTGGTATTATTTCTGCGAGGCCAAATTAGATTATTCAGCTTGAGATGATAGCTATGCACTTACACAAATTCAAAGCTAGGCTGAAATAAAAGGCTCAAGAACTTTTTTCCCTGGTCCTCTTTCATCTTAGCTCATTCAGTGGGTAAGCCTCATGATTGCAAGGATTAGCATTCCAAAAAAAGAAAAAAATAGTTAAGATTTAAACAAAGAGTAGCACTATTAATAGCAACAAAGCAATTGACAATATAGTAATTTAAATATTTCCTTGAAAATTCCTTAGGAAAACAGAGGTAACTAACCATATATGAAACACATTTATGTTATGATTACTCAACATATGGTAGCGTACTTGCCTAATACCATACATAATTCTAATTTTTAGCTTACCTGTAGAATGTTTTTATTTTGTTGAATGGCAAGCATCTAACACACTGCTCGTAGATCTTGTTCTCATCTGCCTGTAGCTCTGCACCACACTTAGCACAACCTGAATAGGTAATCATAGGCAGAGAAGACAAAACACTCTCCAGGGAAGTGTTAGCATTGAAGATGAGTTGTCTGTACTGACCCACTGAAATGGTAAACTTCAACTCTAGGATATGGGCTTTCAGTTGAATCACTCCTACAGAAACAAGTTCAATCAAATCTGTCTTCAGTATTACACACAGTAGCAACAGAAGGCAAGAGTATAACACCTGATTCAAAAACATAATTATCAAAGTTCTGAATAACAGTTTTTCTTTTGAAGCACATTGATGTTTTCAGACAATTTCGCCACATTAAAAAATGCAGTAAAATATTAACTCCAGAGATATGTATTGCCTTTTTAGGTACTACTGAGATGTACACCAATATAGAAAGACCTAAATAAAAGAAAGATTAGATAGTTGCGCAAATACTTTCCATGGCCAACAGAACCAGAAAATTATCAAGATAATTTCATATTAGAAATGGATTATCTTGACACACAAGATGAGATAGTATCTCTTCTAATGAGATACCATAATTGAAGAACAGAATTCCATGACAGTGCAAATTAGATAATCTGATTGAAAGAATTAGTAACAATAAAATTTTTTTCCTTTGTGTCACATGAACACAGAAATTCAGCCCAAAGAGATACAATGAAACTGGACTATTCAAGAAAAGAACGAAAAAAATCTGATAAAACTCCTACAGGTATTATCATATAAAAGCAAATTAGTCTTTTCACAATATATAAATCAAATCTATGCAGCTTTTCACAAAGCAAAACATTACTTAGAAATATGTCATTTGGATTATGTCTCTAATCTGACACATTATATAGGTATGCTTACTCCATTAAGGAAGTTACCTACCCTTCCCAGACTTAGTACTCAAAAAGAAAGTATAACAATCAGAAAATAATCTAATAACCTATGTTTAGATTTCATAAAGGAATTACTTCACCACCCTCCTGATCCAGAGAGGATAAAATCATATCTAACAACTTAGTTCTCTGCTATTTACACACAGATAATAACACTTATCTAGTTTTATATACCTGCAGCAAAGGCAACAGGGTCAGCTCAGTACAGTAAGTTTTTGCATTTGCTCCAGCAGTTTATTCAAGGATATTTTACTCTTGCAATCGTGTTCCAGAGTACCGGTATTCCATAAACTCTTTCAGTGATTAATTAGATTAAAGAGTTGGTATGCAGAACAAGAGGCCGAATTTCTCCCTATGTTCCAAAGCTATCTTTGCATGGTACCATATACCATATCCAAATCTCAATTCCGTGCTCACTGAATGAAGGCTGCATTTATGGTTTAGGCACTGAAGAGCAGCCTCCAGAATAAATTCAAGCTCCCAAAACAACTCAAAACAAAAAAGCATTTTTAGGGCATAAGCATGATATATTTTGCTGCACTATGTATTTGCACTACACTATATGAACACTACAGAGCTGTGAATAATAAATTTACCTGAGCATTTTTCCTCCAAATGTGCCAACACATTTGTCATTTTCAAGAGGGATGTTTTACTTTTCTGAAATTTTTCTTTGAATTCAATTGCTCTTTTGTCATCATCAAACAAACACTCACAGGATGACCATGGAGTTGTGTGCAGTTCAAAGTCACCCGAGACAGAACTATGTTGGACAAAAAGGTATTTAAATTCCCATATGTGATCTAGAGAAAAAGAGATAAAGGAATAATTTTCAAACATTTCATAATGTTTGGAAAACTGAAAACACAAAACTGAAAACTACCTATAACACTGAGTAATAACTCAGTAAGACATTTTAACATCAGCATCTTTGGCAACTTTATTTCAAACCTCATAATTGTATAACACACATGCACACATCAGTTATTCTTCTTAAAAAGCTGAATGAGAACCTCATAGTTGCTTAAAAATACCAGATAATTATGCTTTCATCATTGTAGAGAAAGTTTAACAACATACTCCAAGTAAAATGACTTAAGGGATAGTTTCATATTTTCAGAATGCCTCACATATAGGCAAAGCTAATAATGTGGTATTTGGAATAGAAGGTTCAAATAGGCATACATTATAATTTCTTATGCTTTTAAATATGTATATTACTTTTCTTTTGTTGCCTACAAAAAAGTTCAAAACATCTTTCAAACGTTTGTTTTGTTGAAGCAATAACATGCAGAAATAAAATGGTTATGATAAAAAGCATTATCCCCAAAAGAGACAAATACAGATGCTTGGAATGAGACTAAAACATCCTAGAAGAATCAATATGCTTATCCAGTATGCTAGAGACTTCAACCACTTTGTTTTAGCTGATATGGTGCTAACATTTGTCAAATTTCAGTGGATCATGCTTCCAATTACCTTCTCAAATTCCTAAAGGGATGGAACTAGAATTCTACTAAGATAGCTACCAATTACCTTGGAAATATATTCCCCCTCCCCCCCCACAAATGAAATATTTTTATTTGATCACTCCTACCAATTATTTTTTCCTCAGTTTTACATTCTTTCTAGAAATGTCACAAAACTTTTAAGAATTAGCCATATTTATAAAAAATGGCTGGAAAGAAACAAGTTTATTCACTCAAATTTATCATTTACTTTTAACTTATTCTGCTTTCCTCTTATTTATACAGAACCTCTGTTCAGAGGAGCTAATGCAGTCAGCTTGGGACTATTTCAGAGAATTTGGATATTCCAGACCCCAGAAAATAATTCTATTTTGAAAAAATATATATATATAGTTTAAGCAACTTTGCTTCTGTTTGTTTTTTGAAGGCAACCAATTTTAAGAGCAGCATATTTATTAATGAATGGTGCTAACCCCAATTACTAGCTAGTGTGCTTGTGTGCTCTGTTTTTTCCCCATCTTCCATGGGTTCATTAATGGCCCACTCCAGGCTCTGAAGAATGCTGGTTTCCAAAAAAAAGAATTTAATGAAATAGATCTTTATGGTTTGAGAACCTACACTAGATCAAACATGTCTGAAGCATATATCTATTTTTAGCAAAAGATGAAAAAATAAGTTTAACTTGCATTAGAAACAATTGTTAGATGCGCTAAAAAGTAGATTGTTAAGGATGTAAGCAATTTAAAAATTACAAATTCTCATCCCCTCCTCTACAATACTGGGTATCTAATCTACCGATACAACCAGGAAACACATGCCCCAGCTGGCCTCTGACTCCTAACAAGAATGGACATCATGTGTTACCCTCTAACCTACTCACACTCCCCGTGTCTCATGTGTGCTTATTTAGTTTGATATGACTATATCTTTTTTGGTTCTCTTACTGGGATTAAACATTCATGGTTTATCTCTGTGATAAGTCTTAGGACAGTTGAGAAATTACTCTTATCTTGAATTCCAGATAGTCTTTTAATGATTAAAATGCAAGCTGCTCCATGCATAGAGCCCTAGTTCGAGAAGATGACACCAGGTTTCCACCAGGTATGAGCAGTTACAATACCACACAGATCTACCTCTTCTTACACTTCTGCTTTAAGCATGAGGGAATGATATACCATAGTATCTTAAAGACCAACTTTAGTATCTATTTACTAGTTTATAGCTACAATACAGCATTGAAACATTTCCAGAATTCTGTATTTTTAAGAACATAGTATTTTAGTATTATAGGTTCTGCAAGGTTTAAAAGCATTTGATTATCTAATAAATTGTATACATCTGTCCACACTGATGTACATTAAAAAGAGGCAAGTAGGCTTTATATACTTAAGTTAGTAAGGTAGAAAGCAGATGGGGAAAATCAGAAGTAGAGAGAACTAGAAATTTATTAAAAACAAAACAGTAGAAAGTCAAAATAATGATAATTAACACACAAGTTATTTTCCATAATTAAATGACAATTAGGTACCAAGGAGTCATAGGTCTAAACACAATTTTCTCAATACCTATGACTTATTACCATAAAAATTCCTCAGGACTCAAAGGAGCACATTCATATTGTTTTACTAATGGTACTATTTCTAAAAATATCCATTTTTGAGGTTAATAGCCAACATATTGTCCTAGCAAAAAAAGGTGCAGGAATTTTTTAAAGGTCAAAAGGAAAATGTTATCAGCTGATCATTTTAAAGCGACCAATGACAACGAGGAATTCCTATTACAGTAGGTCAAAAAACCTTACCTTTTTTCCTTTGAAGTTGGGGGCACCAGGCTGCCCCTGCTCCCCACAGCACCATCCTATAATGTTCATCTCTATTCTGTTCTACTGTTAAAATAACTTTTTTTTGGCTGCCCCCTTTGTAGTTGTACACAGATTCTGAAAAAGTTTGAAATAACATTGACTTACTTTATAAGAAAAAAGCATATTATTATGAAAATGCTTCTGAACACGAAGAAGAAACTACACCACTATCATTGTGATACAACTCAAAAAAACACGAGGATGCCCACAATTTCTTCAAGAGAAGATGGAAATAGAATTTACAATTTCTTCACTAATATGAAACCAGTTTGAAGAAATTCATAAAGAAAATTAATTTACTTTTACTTCACAATAATTTTCGAAGAACCTAAGTATTCAGCAACTGGACACCTCCTTGGAAAATAGCAGGCATCTACAAGCATATCTGAGCACCTCCAATTTATCTTGGTTGGCATCAGTGGGAAAAGATTGAACTCCAAACACCTTAGTAACAGACTAATGCTAAATATGAAATTAATGTTTCTGTAACTGCTGTGGAATGTACTTAAGAGATTTTTCTAGAAATTTTCATACAAAAAACTGTGGCTGTATACAAGCATCCTATGAGGATTAAAAATAGACTGAAGCAATTACAATCCCTATGACATTCTTAATTCAGGATTCTTTTTGAAAGTTTCTGGTAAATCCATACTCAAGATGTATATTCATAAATAAAATTATTGGATATCAGCTCCTACTGGCAACAGTTTTGATATCCATATACGATAATAAATTAGAGATTTCTGCCTTGTAAAATTCTCCAATTACAATGAATAAAGGTGGCATTTACGGTGTGGGTAAGAACATTTCTATCTTTTGCAACACTAAAGCAATATGACCAAACCAATGTGAGAAGCATTTTATCAAGTAGTGAGAAAGAGCAACTGGAAACAAAAGGAAAATCAGAACAGCTAATGGCGAAAAAAGAGTAAAGTAGCCTTTAAATGTCGAAGGCCTGTCCAAGAAAAAAAAAAAAAAAAAAAAAAAAAGGAAGAAGGAGCTCCTTAAGGTCTGACTGTAATGAAAAGATGAAAATAAGCTACCAATTTAAACATGGAAAATAATTTAACATGGAAATGACCTCCGAAAAAGGAATCCTGCAGTAACTCCACTCTCAGTACTAAGAAAAGGAATAAGCAATAAAAAAAGTATATTAAACATACAGGTTCGCAACCATGGTTCTTCAGTAAAGGACTCTCAGTAATAAAACAGAAAAGCGAGCAAATGTTTGCTCCTGACAGAAAAGTTCTTTCACCATAACTGCAATAACCTCTTCTCAGCACTTCTGCTACACACAGCTCTCCCCAGAAGAGAATTCCTG